TAAGATGCTGCCAATCATCTGGTCACAGCCCCTTCAGGATGGGACACTGAGCTTGGGATGCTCCTGAAGCATTGTGTCTCCAAGGATAACATCACTTTGGTTTTGTATTCATTCATCAAACCCAAAATGACTTTGCACCATCAGTGTGGTCAAAGTTTGTACAAAGAGAGGAAGGAAAAAGGAACCAGAAGGGGAGTGAGGGGAATTTGTTCTGGTTGCATCATGCAGGAAAGCTGGTCAGAGATCCTTGCAGAGGTTGAGTTGCCTTTTTTTCCTGACATGACAATATTCAGATGCCAGGGACTTAAAATGACACGTTATCAGCTCATCACCCTTGTTCTATACTGAGCTTTTATTTGGCCTCTGTGTTATTTCTTGTTTGATTGTTGCTAGTACAGAAATATGGCTTTATCTTAAATTATTATCAATATTAATCTTCAGGCAATACTGTTGATTCCCAAGGGAAACTAATGGAGCCAACACAATTTAAAAATGTCAGTCCTAATGCATTTTTAATGTCCAAAAGTCAACTTCAATAGAAAAATAAATGAAGTATCTCAGTAACACATTTAGTTTGGGGAAAAAAAAAAGTCTTTGGCTGTGCAGGAGCTTTCTGTGAGTTGTTTGATTTCTGTTCTTTTCCATGCTGAGTCCATCCCACGTGGGCTGTTGTCTGTGGAGCTGCTTCTCACTGTGCTTCACATCGTGTCCATCAGGCCACCTACAGATTAAAACTCTTGATGTTGACATCAGGCTCTTTATCTCTCCACCAGTCCCACTGCTGGAGGGGGTTGATTGCTGAGGTGGCTGCAGACGCCACGCTTGAAATGTGTGTTAGGTCTCTGAGCTATTTTGGAACACAAAACGTAGCTGGAACTGAGGTTTATGGGTTAGCATGCCAAAAAAAAAAGGCACTGTCACAATTCTGAGGGGAAATTAATGGTGAGGGATCAACCTGGCGTTGCTATTTTTGAGATGAAATCCACTGATTTTGTAACAGAACTGGTTTTAAAAGACCTGTAAGTCAAGGGCATGAATCCACGTTTCATCCTGTTGGACTCACACAGGAGAAAACTGCTGAAATGATGGTGCAAAGGTTTGTTTCCTGGTGTTGAGCCAGCCAGGGTGACAAGAAGTAGCTGCTAGGAGGAAGCCCTGAAAGCTCAGCCCTGCCAACAGCTCTCAGCAGCTTCAGAGAACACTCAGGAAGAGCAATAAATCTGAAGCTCTTTACCAAACACACCCCTCTGTGGGTCTTCACATCCCCCCTGTCAAATATCTCAGGGCAGTTTTGTCCCTTCGAGCTGCAGGTAGAGAATATTTTCATTTCCCTTTCCTGAGGTGTCCAATCTGTTTGATTATTGATGTGTGGGGTTTGAAAACTCAAGCCCAGGTAGTTTTATTCCTTTGAAACTCAAGAAGCAGTGTCATGGAAAGTCTAAATATAACTTCACAGTGCTAAAAGCCTCGTTCCATAACATTAAAATCACTGTCTTTATTAAAATATAGTTTAATTATTAAAAAAATACAGTTATAAGGCTGACTTAACAGCCCATTAGCAACATCCCCGTGGATTTAGGTCAAGCTTGTCAAAAAATAGAACCCCAAATTCACTTTAGAAGTTGATTTCTCTTCTCATTAGAGCTGGAAATGGAGCCTCCTGAATGCAGGGGAGCTGCTGAGAGCTGGGGGCACAGACAGGACATCTCGTGGCATCTGCTTTTTGGATGGGTTTGGTGGCATTCCAGGTGTCACATCTCCAGGCTCAGCAGAATCACCCTGTTCTGCTCTTTCTCTGCAGCTCCTGGCTGGGTTGGGGTGATGTGTTTGATGTTGAGGGCTTTGAAAACTCTTTGCTTTATTTTTTTGAGAAGCCCTGTGAGTTCTTTTCTGGCTCTGAGATGAAATGGTGCTCAAATAGCATTTAAATAACTCTTTTCAGGTAGGAGTAGCAAAGGAGATGATCTTCCCTGGCTTTTAACCAGCCCAGGCTGTGAGAATTAATCAAGGTCTCTAATCACCAAATTAAAGGAGGTGATTTCTGTGCCCCCTGGACTTAGGTCGCCGTTTTCCAACCTTTGTAGCTCAGGTTTAGAGCAGAATGAAACTTGTAGGAAAAGCATAACCAAGAATTCCTACAACAGACCAAATCCTAGGGACTTATTTATAACAGATGAACTGTTGGGAGCTTCTACACAGAGGGAGAAACACTCCTCAGATGCAGCCATCAGCACAGAGGATGAATGTTTAGCACCAGGCTCTGTTTGCCTCCCATCTTCCAGCAGTTCTTAGCTCCCAGTGGAGAAAAACCCCTTAATAAACTGTGATTAATGCCCTTGGCTGGCTGAATCCCCCAAATAGTCATTACCTTCCCATCAATAACTCTTTGTGTACAGATAGTGCTGCCACTTGTCCCCTCCAGTAGTGGCTTGGTGCTTGGATTAGTTTCCCTGTGAACTTGCTAGCCTGGTTGATGCTTTCATTCACAGCTTTGAAGGCAAAGAGGATGATTTGGCAGCTAAAAAGGTGCCAAAATTCAAAGTTGGTTGCTCTGTTCTGCTGCAGGTCTCACTGTCTGCTGCTCTGTCACTCAGCCTTGTCTTTAAGTGGGTTGGTTTTTTCCAGACTTTGAATTAATGCCCCAAGAATAGCACCTTGGAGGATTATCTTAATTTAAGAACTGTCATTACCAGAGCCACAAACTGTTTGGGAGTAATCAGTGAGCCAAGACATGAAGGGTGTTCCTGTGGAGTCAGTGTTAGGAGGGACACAACAATGCCCCCAGGGGGGAACCCCTCTGCTGGGAGCCCAGCAGGAGAGAGTTGGGCTGGGGCAGCCCCAGAGGAGAAGGCTCCAGCTGGGGAGACCTGCTGGGGGCTGCCAGGGGCCTGCCAGAAACCTGGGGGGGGGCTTTTCAGGAGGGTCTGTTGGGACAGGACAAGGGGGGATGGTTTGAAGCTCCAAGAGGGAGATTGAACCAGGAGAGAAGGGAGGAATGTTGGATGCTGAAGGTGGTGAGCCCATGGTTGCACAGAGAGGTGGTCGCTGCCCCATCCCAGGGGAGGTTGGATGGAGCTCTGAGCACCCTGCTCTAGCTGGGGCTGTCCCTGCTTCTCCCTGGATGCCCTTGAAAGGTCCTTTCCCACCCAAGCAGTGTGGGATGCTGTGGTTCCTCCTGGGCCCTGACCCCTGTGTGTGGCAGAGCTCAGCCAGGGCACCGTGGTGTCTGCTGGCTGCTTGGCTCAGGGACAGATGACTTCACACCCTCTTCTGTCTTCATGTTTCCCTCAGGGGATGGTGCTGTCTGCTGAGTACATCAAGAAGAAACTGGAGCAGGAAATGGTGCTTTCTCAAGCTTTTGGAAGAGATTTAGTGAGTGTTTGTTTGTATCTCTCCTTGCAGGCTGTACAGAGGATGAGATTTCCCTAAAACCCTTTTTTTTTGGGAAACCTCCTCCACGTGTTTCAATCCATTGTCCTAATT